CTTGTCTGAGTTGGCAGCAGCCTTGAGAAGACGGGCCATTCTGCTGTGGACAGGCTGGGCACATAAACCATTCCAGAGAGGTGTTTGTCTGAGCTCTTCTTAATAGTCTTTGAAACTTCCTACGAAGGAAACGGCCAAACCTGCCCAGCCAGGTTATCCCAACATGTAGCTGTACCTAACACTGGGAACCTGCTTCTTGAATCTGATCTTTACCACTTCCACTGCAAGCCTCTGAGGTGTGCTGTGCTGAGCCTTTCAAAACACACTGCTTACAACATTCAGCAGAGCAGCTGTTGCCAAATGTTATTGCTAAAAAGTCTGACAGTCTGAAACTTGTCAGAGGCATCAGAAAGGAATTGCAGATGATTCTGATTCAGGGATTTCCTAATGACAGCTGGAAATGTGGTGCTGGTGGAACACAGTGATCCAAGAGGAGCCCCAACAGTCAGTTCTTTGTTTCAGGGTTGAAATTGGTGAGAGTAGAAGGAAGATGATGAAACCTTTACTTTAGAACTGCTTGAGCGTGCAGTGCTAATTATGAGGGCATCTCTATTTGTGGCTTTCAGTTCTTTTCCAAACATATTTGTCTTCAGCAAGAACTGAAAAGCTGTTCTAAACCCTACATTTTTCTAAATAAGAGATGACCCGGGTTCTCTCCTCCAGTTTCAAATTGCATCTTGTGAAGTCGAGTTCTTGCATGATGTGTTTCTGAGGTCATGAGCAAGCCCCGGATCACCCAGCTCAGCACCTAGAAGGCTGCTTCTGCAACTGATCATCATATTTAGCTGTGTCTCCAGTTCACTCTAAGATTTTATATATTGTGTTCTGTAAGGAGAGGAGACTCCCTGGCTACGCCATACAGCCCAGGTAGTGATCTAATGAAAAGCAAAAGGAGCCTGAGAAGGGGTTTGCCAGAGCCCTGCGTGACAGGAATGCTAACAAGTCCACTCACGTCATCAGCTTCCCTGCTCCCAGCTCCCCCCTCCCTCCCTTCCTTTCTCTTTTATAAGCCAGCTTGAAATCAGGGAATTACATGCTAAGGAAAACCCTTCAGCCAAACATATAATTATTCTGCACATGATCAGTGCAGCACAGTTAATCAGTTTACCAACTGAATTCATTTTTATTTTTGCGTGTCTGCGTCTCCTGTTGGGAGTGGAGAAATTCTAGGTTTGAAGGGGAGAAACGGGTTGCAGTTGTGAAAGGAGTATCTGAAGCTGAGCATTCATTAGGAGAGAAGCCTCCACTGCAGGCTCTTTCGTCAGACAAACCTCCCTGTCACTCCCCAAGACTTTGAATCCCTGACTCCATGTGGAGTTATTACTTACAGGTACTTAAGAAATAACTGTCTTCCTATTTTAATGTTCAGCTGTTTAATAGCATTCCATTCTCTGAAAGTCATGGCTCTATTTCATTGCATCCTATTTAATTACATTTCACTGGGTTGTTTTGACAAGTCATTATTTGTTTGGACAGGGGTGTCACATCACTGTAAATGAGTTCATGTTTTAAATGACCTACTTGTAAACAGCTTCACTTAGGAAGTACAAAATCTCACACACTGTTATTTGTAAAAGTACAAAGAATACCTTTTGGATTCTATTTACAATGAAAATACAAGCTATGATGCTTTTAATTCATTTTAAGTGCAAATAAGTCAGGAGTAAGACACTACACCTCCCCCCTGCCCCTGCCAAGTCTCCAGGTAGAAGCATTATGAATATTGAAGTATAGTTTGTCACTTACTCATGTTAATATGTTCAAATTAACCAAAGGAAAAGATGACCAAGTTTGAAAACTACTCTGATTCTTCATGTGCTTGCAAGTTTTATGGGTAATATTTGTTTTCCAACAGTTCCACAATGGAATTTGACCAAGGAAAAGTTCTTCCTCTTCAAGCACCTTTTGGGTCCATAGTGCATATCCCCAGAAAACATTTTCTTATGGAAGAAATGGGTACACACCAGGAGAAATAGTTGCTTGTTTTCTGAAGTGAAAACTACTCAGAGAAATCTCAATTTTTGGGAAATTGGGGGAAAAAAAAAAAAAAGAACAGTGAGTGAAATCTGTTGTTAAAAATATCTTCACAATTAATGTGTTCTGCTCCTTCGAACATTTTCCTTCCAAGCACAGTGCTTCCTGCTATGCATTTGCTAAACTTTACAAAATATTTCTCTGTCAAGACAATTTCTTTAACCCAAAAGTATGTAGAGTCTTAACTTCTAGATCCTCTGTAAGCCTCAAAAATCAATTTCTAAAGACCTGTGTGGCCTTTTCAGGTTGTCCACGCCATCAGAGGCAGTTCCCAAGTTGAATTCCAGTTGAATGCATTCCCAGAAAGGAACTGTGGATAGATACAAGATGCCACCTTGTCATAAAAATGTTCCTTAAAGCTTAGCAATTTTTACTTTCTTGGCAAGTAACATTTCCCTAAGGAAAGGAACAGAAGGGTGTCCCCTCTCGGTTGGGGCTTATGCTACAACTTCTGATAACAGCACCCTGGAACCAGGACACTTGCTGGGTAGCCAGGTCTCAAACTATTCACATCATTTTTGTGCCTTTCTTCCAGCTTCTCTTCAACTATTTCGTGTTGCTGCTACTTACTGCTGGTTAATTTCAAAACCTGTATTTGGCTAACAGTTTTTAGAAGTTAGGAAAGTGTAATCAATTATAAATTCAAGTAAAAAAAGATGTATTACCATAATTTCCCTCTGAAATATGTTATAATGTACAACCTTACAAAGAAAGCTGATTGACTGCATATTTTTAAGCCAAAAAAAGGTCTATTACACTTACAGTATTTGTTCCATTGTTGATTAACACTTTGCTTTCTATAGCAAAGATACTATTCCACATTCACAGTGGGGTAATTATTCTAAAATGCCTTTACTAGATCTTTTAATGCTGCCAAAGTGTGCTGTTAAGCACAGAACACACCTGTAAAAGCTGCATCTTCCCTTGAATATCTCTACAATTCAGACCCCTCTAAAACACTAGTAGCTGTTCAGCAGAATAACTGCAGCTACAGGAGCTGATGTACCAAATACCTGTGAGTTACAGGTAAACAGTGGCCACAATTGGGCAATTTTTGTAAAGTAAGGGCTTCACAAGGAGTTTTAAACTAATTCTGGTATGGTTCCATTTGTGTGTGCCAGGGCTTTCCTTGCAGTATGCATTTCTAAATACCAGGATAAAAAAGGGGCTTCTAATATTAGCATGGCAAAAATGAACAAATGTGCAACTTTCTGTAGCACTCCTGTTACCAAGGCAAATACCTTTCTTATGAATGCTTCAGTGTTCATTGCATTGTAGCTATTTATGCTTAAGCCCAGAGGCACACAACTGGCAATACTGTCTACTCCAAACATCCCTCTGGATGCTGGATGCAGTCATTGTAGAGAAATGTAGCTCTCAGGCAACTCCATACATTCAAAAACCTTTTGCTTGTATGACCTTCTTGCTTCCCAGGGCATGTCCTGCACATGTTATGGATTAATGTTATCCAAGATGTCATTAGCAAATGGAGAAAAAAGTAGCAGGAAGTATTTTTAAATTTAGCAACACATTTTATTATACACACTGTGACATTTCATTCACACGAGGATTCAAGTCATGAGTTAAAATAGCAAAATTAAAAAAAAAAACAACAACAAACTTTTAAAATCTTTTATGTTCTGGAAATAAAGGTGTAGATCAGAAAAGTCTACTCTGCACGTATGTTGAGAACTGATTTTAAGTACTGACATTGGAGTATGGGAATCAGTCCTGGATCTAAAGGTTTCAGAATCCATCCCAATGACCTGCTTAAGATCTCCTAATTAACCTGAGCTCACAAAAACCTCAGAAAGAAACTACACATGTTCCCTTAGATGCCACTAGCTTCCCTGCACTGTGTGCTCTTAAAAGAATAGTTTGCTCATCATTGTAATGTGTCTGAGGAGCACCTACACAGCCCAGTTGCAGCGACGGATGGAGACGTAGCTCAGCAAAATGGGATCAAACCATTCCCTTATAAGTGATAACACTTGGAAAGCTGTAAGGATATGATAGTGGGCAGCGAATTCAACCCTTCAGTAAGTTCAGAAACCACATTATGGAAATTATTTCCACCAAGCAAGGTGCAAACAAAATTTGCACCTCTTCTCCTTATATAACGGAGATCCCTTGTAGCAGAGATGATTTGTCTCCCAGACAGACAGCTCATCAGGAGCCAAGCACAGCACCACTAAGGCATCCTTCTCTGGAAATGCGTTTTCCCCCACGCTGGAGAAATTTAAAACACTCCTCATCACGAGCAAATTCTTCAGCCTCCCTCCCATCCAGCTCAATCTGTTTGCAGCAGAGCCGAGCATCATCAGGCAAAACATGTCACAGCTTCAGGCTGTGTTGGGCAACTGCGAATGTGCAGGGAAATCATCCTGCCTGTCAAGTTGTGGGGAAGAGTTTCCCCAGCGCCGCGGTGCTCAGCCCCGCACCCCCCGCGGGCTCGGCAGGGCCGGGGGGTGCTGGGCACAAGGGCAGCACCAGCAGGAGCCTGGACAGAGCAGGACGTGTCACCAAAGGAGCAGAATTCCTCAGTCCTGTCACGGGCACCTTATGCTCCTTGTGGTACCCTAAACTACACACAAGTGCTGCGCAGCCACTGCATCAGATCACCTGATACGAGCCAAACAGACCTAATCAGGGCAAATTGAAAGCAAGCAAACATCCTAACGTGACACTGTGCAGTGCACAACGGAGCCATGAGGCACAATCACTTTATGCCTGCAGTTCCCAACAAACGCATTTGATCCCTCCTCGGCTCTCGGCAGAAATTCCAACAACATGCTGCACAGCTTAAACAGCCTCTCTCTTCAGTCCTGTCTCATAAACTACTGTGCAAAGCAGCAGATGCAATATTAAAACTGAATAAACTCTTTCCTAAACAAAGCATACAAGAGCAGATATGTAAATTGCCAGAACCCAAAGTACAGACAATGCATGGCAATAAACGATCATACCTTTCATCCAATCCACTACTTGCTTGGGCGTCCACTTGCTAATAGGTTCCATAACGAGAGCCATCACCAGATCACTTTATCATTCACACCAAAATCAGAAAAAGGAGAGGAAAAAACACAACGTATCAGAGCATGGCTGGGCTAAGAGAGCTGTAGGATTTTACAGTGCAGTCCAAAGAGAAGATGATGCTTTGTCCCTCCAGGTTTCTCCTGCACTGATTCAGTAATGTATAAAATTACACTGCTTGATCAGCTCTGGCACCTCCCCCACTGCACACAGCCTGCAACACACTGGAGCACAGAGCCAGGAAATGGTGCAGTACGTATAGACTTACTTACAAAAGCCTCTACCCACTGATCTACTTATTAGACTGGCACAAATATAAAATTATATTACACAGAGAGCAATTCACACTGGAGCTATTCCAGATGTGGAGTTTTATTCCAACAAGCTCTGGGATCTTCATCAGGGAAAATATCACTACTGTAACTTGATAGCAGATTGTCTTGGCTTCATTGTGAATATGCTGACTGTCACTCAGTTTAAAGAGGAGATGGAAATATCAGAATATCACTTGGCATCTGGCAAAATGCTGAGCATCTCCATCTTTACAATACAAAATATTGCTGGAGTCATACTATATAATCATGCAATTCAGAATGTCAAACACAGGATAAAAAGTCTTACCCAAGGAAAAAAAAACAAAGCACCAACAAAAAAAACTGTTGAAAGAAAACTCTTTATCCTGGCCACATTCAAAGCTAAGATATTTCCTCCTATGAGCTGCTCAGTTTCTAAGGAAAGAATGACAGCAGCAGAGTCAATTGTTGCTACTACAGCACTTTCATGTAGACAAGGGTACCAAGTGTGCTGATTCCAAGCACTGAGACCATCAGTCAACCTCTCCCTTTTGCAAGGGAGGGAAAAAAACGTTGTCAATATCCCTAATACTGCAGTTTTACTACCCTTTCAGAAGATGAAGGTAAAACATTTTAAGCAGATGTGCCCAACAGTGCTTTTTGGACCCTTTTGTGGCTCCCTGCACCTCAGGCAGCACGTGTTCTGCATCATGTGGTTGGAGGTGTGTGTGCTTGCTGTTTGATCCACTGAGCCACTCTCTGAGCCCCACTATTTGCTCCCTGGGGGGGAAAACTCAGATTCCAGAAAAAAAAAGACAGAACAAAGCAGTCCCACCTTTCTTTCCAGTCATATTTCATCTGTTCCTTTCTTTCCTGAGCTGCTCCAAGTTGCACCAGCACGTTAGTGACAGAAGATTATATTGTTCCCATGTCTCCATCACTCCACTAGAGCTGTGCTAATTTACCCAGGCAGAGACCTGTCTTCCCTTCTCCATATGGAAGAACAAAACATACACATGGAATATTTATGCCATGCTATTTCAGGGTTCTTGTAAAGTCTATATAGATAAGGATGCAAAGAGGCATCCTTTCCCCCCCCCGAAATGCCTCCAAAGAGATGTACCCTGCTCCCTTCAGCCATGCACTTGATCATTCTTTATTTTTCTTTTGCTTTGGGAAGTGGTGTGATTAGTATTCCATGATGTTTTTTGAGTGCTCAGAGAACAGATCTGCTTTACAAAAGGCTTCACATCAATTCTCCTCCAAGAAGGCTGTTTCCAGCTGAACAGCATGTGAGCTTCCTCTCTGAGTTTTGGGAGACCACTTTCAGTAGCTTTAGTTCTGTCTAAATAGCTGCTTAGAATGGACAAAAAAATTACAAATATTTCAAGGACAAAACACTTCTCTTTTTAGGCAATAGTGGAGTAGGATTGAGATCCTTGGGATATTTCTGTTAGCTCTTGGAACCTGTGCAAGGTGTTTGGTTTAAGGCTATGCTTCTGAAAATTATTTTCACAAAATGATCTCTGCTCTTAAATTATTTTAAGTTCAGTACAAGCATGGAAGAATTTTAAATAATAACTTAGTATTTGGACATGATTACATGAAATAACCTCCATTCATTATTATTTGGACTATTTCCCTAATTCCTATAATTTGACAGGCGTTCAGTCCTTTGTCCTTTTGTCTCACATTTCTTACCCGTGCTTGACTGAGCAGATCTTTCTGTTTACTTTGACACATTTTTGGAAGAGGAAGGAGGCTGAATTCAGAGCCCACAGAAGTCAGTGGGCATCATTCCATTCTTTTTAATTGTCCCTGGATGACAAAAGAAGCCCCAAATCATTATTTTGGAATCAGTACTTCCATTTTTCAGAATAAGAACCTTTAGAACTTTTTTATGTCCTGTTACAGAAGCTCCTCTCCACAAAGATGGTTTGCATTTTCATTTATTCCTACTGCTATTCACCACCATGGTGGAAGTTCAGGTAGTGATCGTAATTTGTCACTGAAGAATCTTGGTTATTTGATCATCTCCTGTGCTTTTGCTTTGTTGTCACTAGTTGCAGTTTGTCTGTGTTTTGGGATTCTCCAGCCTTTTGGACAGCAGCCTACTTTTTTGTGCTACTTCTTGGAATGAAATATTTAAAGCTGTTAAAAATGGTAACTCTGTTTCCCTCATTCCTGAGCAGATGATTTCTTGAGCCTCATTGCACAGATCCATGTGCACAGCTATGGTTTGTCACCCTTCACTCCAAACCCAGACCAACACTCCTGTGACTTATCTCATGTTCATTGTGGCAGCCCGTGGAAAACTGTAGCTGGGTGATGCCTCTGCTCCTTGCTTTGTTATTTCCAAAAAGACACATTTCTCATATGGGAAGAGCACAGAAGCATGGGAAGCCTTGCCTAGATGAAAAAGGAACCTGCAGCTGACCACAGCAATGGATAGAACCCAGCAAGAGCTGAGGCCAGATGGGGTCAAGATGCACCCAAACTACTTCTGCAACCCCAGTGCAGGTCAGTTCATGGCACTTGCTAACACAGGTTGCCCTGCCTGCCAGCTGAGGTAACGACTCTGCAGTGAGTACATGGAATAAGCCACCCACTGCACTGACCTGTGGTCCTTATTGCTGACATGCTTCTAACCATCTGCTGGTGCTAAAGAACCTGGTTTAGACATCGTCAGCTACAGGTCACTGCAGGAAAACCAAGTTTGGAAAGTCACTGAATAAGGAACTTCTTTAAAACACGAGAAAACCTGTGTAATCCCTAAAGCTATCCCATGTGTTTTCCTGTCCATTTACTGCAAGGCTTCTGCCCAGACCTGTCCCTCAGTGCACCTTGCATTCCTTCCTGATACTGACATAAAAGAAACAAAGCATTCCCATGATTATGTTTTTCTTCCAGGCTGAATACAGCAAATAAACAGAAAAAGAGATCAAGGAGCATCTTTCCCACCATTATTCTATCTAGGTCATGTAAATGAGAAATACTCTCTGACTGAAGTCTTCACAGGCATTAGAGCAGAGTAAGGCATTTGGAACAGAGAAAAGAACCAGACCTTTCACTATATGATGCAGTGATGTTCTCAAAGGCCTATGAAAAAATAATCTGGTAATTTCAGGCCATAATCACTGCTGTCATCTTTGACAGCAAAGGCCTAAGGCAGAATAGACTGGTTGAAGCGTTTCGAGCCCTTCCTTCTTCACAGCAATAATACTGGTAGTTCTGTAGCTTTTGACCACTGCCTGGTATCTCTGGGATTACTAATTAAACCATAATTCTCTGTGTTTTCATGGTCACCATGGGAGGCAGTTAAATGTTCTTCTCCTTTTCATGGCCAGTGATAACTTTCCAATTAATGATTATGCTTAAACCTCGCAACACAGTTAGTATAATTATTCAGGCAAGCACATATTTCTTGCAGTTTTCTTTTGGTAACAATTATTCTCATACTTTTTGATGAAGAAATAACTGTAAGTCCTTTACAAGTAGGTTAGTTTAAGAAGATCTCAACATTGTGTTTGATAGCCCTTATGGAAAACATAAGCATGCAGTTTCAGATTAAATAAGTAATGATTCCCCTGGAAAAGTGGTTCATAATGCTTTAACTTCAGCTATTCATAATTTATATTGTTAATGGAAATATAAGCAAAATCTCCAAGGAAATTGCTGTTGAACTCATGGTTATCATTGAAATTTGTTGTTGCTTTTTTGTTTGTTTGTTTGTTTTGGGGGTTTTTTGTTTTGTTTTGTTTTCATCATGTAATATTAGCATATTACACACCTGCTTTTTGTGGAAAAGGACTTTTAAGAAACCCAAAATGTAGCTGCTTTACTAGTTTTGATAAGCTGCTCTGAGGCAGGTTCTGCCTGATGCTCCTTTTACCCAATCTCTACTTTGCATCATAACCCTCGAGACTCTTGTGTTTCACACCTGGAGGGCAAGAAAACTGCCTGGGGAGAATTTGTATGAGCAGTAAGGTTTGTGCTACGAGGCACCCCCAGCTCACGTTTGTGATGGGGATCAACAGACATTTCTATTTCATTGTAAACCTTTGCCTTCCTTAGCCCTGCGTGTACAAGCTGAAGGGCTGCGGTTTGGCTGTCCTGAAGTTCAGAAGAGCGGGAGGAGCCTTCCCGTGCCTCCAGCAGCCCACCCGAGGCTGGGAGGGAGGGCTAAGACCAGACCCAGCTCCCAGGAAGTGTCACCAAGTGCTGCAGGGCAGACTGCTTTGGAAGTGACATCTCCAACAGGCTCCGCACGCCGGGAGCAGGCGTTGTACCCTCTCCGACACCCTCACCAGCTGCTGGGACGGCTTTCCGCCCTTCTGGAGCCTTTCTCCCTTTCTCCAAGCATCTCCCGAGCCGGTGTCCCCGTTCTGGGGGCAAGACCCCCGCATCAGCACCAACCCGCCTCTCAAATCTGTCTCCTTTCTCTCTGATCTCTTTCCAAACCGCCCCCAGGCTTGACAGGAACGCTCAGCGCGGCACCCAAAGCGTGACACGCGTCTCAGTGGCCCCTTCAGGCTGCGTTCTCATAGCTCCTCTTTTTGGCCCTCAAACCTTTGCATTTATGAATTATAAAATCTGAGCAGCTGCGAACTCCAGCTTCTTTTCAGAAAGCAAACTATTCGGATATTTAGCACTACGATATGTTTCATTCCATACATTTTTTTTCATGCTGTATTAATTGATACA